GTGGAGAAATGTCCTCAGGTGAGGATGAAAAAAAAAAAAAAAAGTCACTGTGTAGCCCGGATAGTGTGGCTTCATGGATAGAGCATCATCCCATGGACTGAGAGGTCCCAGTTCAATTCCGGGTCAGGGCACCATCACCAGTAGGGAGCATGCAGGAAGCAGCTAATTTGTTTCTCTCTTACATTGATGTTTCTTTTTTTTTTTTTTTTTTTTTTCAGATAGAGTGGGAGGGAGAGAGAGAGAGAGAGAAACATCGACGTGAAAGGGACACATCGAGTGGCTGCCACCCGCATGACCCAACCAGGGCCAGGGACAAACTGCAACCGAGGTACGTGCCCTTAGCGGGAACCGAACCCGGGTCTCTCTGGACCGCAGGCCGACGCTCTAACCGCTGAGCCAAACTGGCCAGGGCTCTTACATTGATGTTTCTATGTCTCCCTCTCTCTCTAAAAAAAAAAAATCAATAAAAATAATAATAAAAAAAAAGTCATTGTGTATTCTGCTGGAAGCCAGGATCCAGCAATCTCCTCTCTGTCCAGGTCCTCCAGTGCCCAAAATGAGAAAGCAGTGGTGTGCAGTTGGTGCTTTTTCCTAGTAAACAGGTAAAAAGGAAGAGCTAGAGTCCAGACCCATCAGATAAGCAAACTACTTCCCAGCATAACATCCAAGCATAAACTGGACATTTTCATTCTGAAAATGAAAGCCTGGGCATGAAAGGGACATGTGCAGTACACATTTCCATGCCAGCCATGATCCCAGTCTGGGCAGATGGAGGTGCAGGGGACCTGAAGCTGAGTTTCGGGCCTGCAGGGCAGGAGGGAAGAGGCCTTTGAGGCAGATATGTATCAGTCCCATACAAGTTGGAACAGCTCCTGAGCCACCTTGGACCCTGGCCTCCCGTCCCAGAGCTGTGCAGCCAGCTTCATGCATGGAGTAATAAATGAGGCTACACACAGGGTCAGATGCCCCCAGGAATAAGCCTGGATCCCAGACAAGGGGTTGTTCCACCTGACAGCTGTAGCCCTGGCAGCTTAGGAAGCCAGAGCATCTCCCAAACCAGGACAGACAGAGCTGGGGGTGGAGAGCACATGACCACCTCCAACCCCAGACCCTGAACTCAGGGTTGCCATTATGGGTAAACACACAAAATACCCACATCTGCCCTCAGAATTCAAGATAGTTTCACTCAGCTGGCAGTTCCTCCTGCTTGAGGTCTGTAGACAAGGATGGTTGAGCTTTATTCAGGGTCTCTTTTGGGCTTGCTCCTCTGCAAACAAGGACCCAGGTTTATGGGAGGGCAACCCCTCCACCCTGTCCCATCCCCCACCCATTGCCCCTGCCCTAGGCTTTGCCCAACAGCATTGAGCCCAGCCAGATTTCAGCCCAGCCCCTCACCTATCTGGGCTGGGACAAGGCCCAACTACCTACAGTAGGGGTCTGGGGTCCACCGCCTGGTATGGTCTTTCCTCTTGTGCTCACTTCAGGCTGGGAATCTCTGGCTCCCAGCAAAAGCAACCCCTACTCTGACAGAGGGGTGGCCTCACAACCAGGGTGGGTTATCCTCATCTCTGATAGATGGGTAAAGCTAATTTTATAACCCAAGGGCAAGCCTCTGCATCCAGGAACTGGCTGAGGGCCAGGTTACAATCGCAGGTACATTAAGAGTGCTGCTGAGACCAGGCGGGCAAGATTTCTATCACAATGGGGATTTCCCAGAGTGCTCCCAGGGCTCTTCACTGTCTGATTGTGTCAGGGACAGGGTGTGCTTTGAACCCACTCCACCCTGGCCCTGAGGGATCCCTTTCTTGGTAATTTTCCTGCCTTTTGTTATAGGGGGGAAAAATCAGGATTTGCAGTCAGCCCCTCCCTGCAGCTGACATCCCAGGGCTGTCTGTGGGTGTGGAGGGTGGGGGTTGGGGGGCATCCAGGGACACCTCTGCCCTTGTGGGAACATCATGTTCCCTACATGCAACTGCACGTCCAACCCTAGAGCCAGGGCGCTGGGCCCATTGGGAGGACTCCAGTCCAGAAAGGGTGGGGTTGAATAAGAACAACTAACTCTGTTTAAGGAACAGGCAGGAAAGGGGATGTAGAGAGATGCTGATCTCAGATGACTTTACATTCACTCCTACCCCCAACCCTCCCAGGGCTTCTTGGGAAGGACAAAGTGCAGTAAGAGAGCAGCAGCTGGCTCCCCAACTGTATTTCCAGCTTGAAGGGCTGCCTCGACCCTCTGGTCTAATTCTTGTCCCCTCCACCAACCTCTTTTGTCCTGGCCCATTCCTGCCTGGAGTCTGGTTACTTACATCCTGAGGCCAGCTCTCTCAGCACCTACCTTCATGGTCAGGCTCCGGCCCAGTCCTCTAACCTCTTGCACCCCTGCCCCCCTTAGCAATGATCTTGCCTGGTTTTTAAGGAGAAAACAATGGGCCAGAAACTTCAAGCTCTTCCTCTGCTCACCACATCCTCCTTGAGCTCTTGCCCCATTGTTCTTTCCTCATGGCAAAAGCCTTAACACTAGCCTACAGTTGCCTCCTTACCTCCCATTCTCACCATAGCTCACCCCTACAGTCCCCAGTGACTTCCACAGTCAGAGCCAGAGTACTGTCTGGCTCACTGGAGTACTCCTCCCTCCCAGACCACCTTTTCAGGAACATTTAGTTCTCCTAGTTTTCTTCCCACCTGGGTTGCCACCTTTAACCAAGGTACAGTTAAACGCAGGAGTGGCCCAGGACTCCACTCTGGGTTCTCCTCTCCCCCTCCCAAGAGATTATGTCAGGGACAGCATGGCTTTGGGTGTTATCTCCATGCTGCTCACTCCCTCTGGGACACAGTATGCTGAGTTTAGTGTCCAGTCCTCCCTGTCCCCATCCCTCACCTCCCCCCCCTTTTTTATATGTGCCCCTAGCAGGAACCAAACCCAGGACTCTCTGGTCCACAAGCCGATGCTCCAACCACTGAGCCAAACCGGCCAGAGCCCTCTCCATCTCTTTACTTCACTCACTGAAACATTCTGCAAAGTTTGCTTTTCTTACCTTCTTTAAAATTTAAAAATTTTTATTTATTGATTTGAGAGAGAAAAATATCAATTTGTTGTTCCACTTATGTATGCATTCATTGCTTGCTTCTTTTTTTTTTTTTATCCTCACCCGAGGACATTTTTCCATTTTTTGTTCAGGTAGAGTGGGAGGGAGAGAGAGGAACAGAGAGAGAGAGAGAAACATCGATGTGAAAGGAACACATCGAGTGGCTGCCACCCGCACAACCGACCAGGGCCAGGGACAAACTGCAACCGAGGAACGCGCCCTTAGCGGGAACCGAACCCGGGTCTCTCAGGACCACAGGCCGACGCTCTAAAACCGCTGAGCCAAACCGGCCAGGGCATCATTGCTTGCTTCTTGTATGTCCCCTGACTGGAGATCAAACCCGCAACCTTGGTATATCAGGACAATGCTCTAACCAACGAAGCTGCCTGGCCATGGCATCCTTTTTTTTTTTTAATTAAAAATTTTTTTAAACTGTGGAATATTATAACAAATACAGAAAGGTGCACAAAACAAAGACATTCTATTCAATGATTTCTCAGAGGTCAAACACAAAACAAGACTCAGATGAAGCACAGTGTCAGTGCCCTGCAGCCCCTCTTGTAGTCTTCCTCCCTACTCTATCCCAAGTGTTAAGGTCAGGTGGTTATTACTTCCTAGATTTTCTTTCTTTTTTTTAATCCTCACCCGAGGACATTTTTCTATTTATCTTCAAATAAAATGGGGCGGGGGAGAGACATCAATGTGAGAGGGACACATCTACTAGTTGCCTCCTGCACAACCCCACCAGGGCCAAGGACCAAACCACAACTGAGGTACGTGCCCTTGACTGGAATCAAACCCGCAACTCTTTGGGTTTGACGCTCTAACAGCTGAGCCAAACTGGGCAGTGCTTTCCTAGATTTTCTTGATCGTTCATCACCTAAACATGCTTCTCTGAAAAATCACTTTCTTCATAGTTATACACATATAATTAAATGCATAAGAAGGGCAATCTATGTTCTGTCTCATCGATGTTTCTCTAAAATCAATAAAGAAAAAAAATTTTTTTGTTAAATGTGTTGAATGAATTAGTATAAGCTTGAATCCACACCTCTGGAAACCCCCAACACACAGGATTGCAACATTGGCCTCCTTTATAGAAAGAGCAGAGCTCAGGTAGAAGGCTCTGCCCATTCTCAGTAGCACTGGCCTCCTTCCTTGCCTTTCCCAGCTACACTGAGATTCACTCAGGTGGGAGGCCTACTGGCCAACACAGGATCCAGGACAAATGAGTCCCAGAGAAGCCCTGCAATGTGGAACTTGTGGGACCTGGATTGGGCACTGAGTCACCACCATCCACCAGTCATAGAAAATTCGACAGCCATTCTTCTGTCCATCCCTCTATATTTAGTAATTTGTCCACCCATCTACATCCAGGCATCTATCTACCTGTATATATATCATATATATAGTCCTTTATCCACCGTCTACAGCTGCTCTTTTGTCCATCTTTCCGTCCATCCACATCCAGTTCTCTGTCCATCCATCTTAATCTAGGGTGACCAACTTCCTAGGTTACTGACAAGTGTCTCAATGTTAGCATTTAAAGTCCCACATCCTGAGAAACTCCTTAGATTCGGGGAAAATGGCACGGTTGATTGAACCATCCATCGCCAGGCATTCCGCATTGCACCCATGTGCCCGAAGCCCATCAGTTCCCCCCAACCACCCATCTGACCTCGCTGGACAGGTTCCCGTAGAGGTAGACAAGGCTCTGCCCCTTGCCCCGCCCCTCCCGGAAGCTGCTGCCGAGAATCCCGGCACCCTAGCAACAGCGCTTTTCGGACCACCCAATCTGCGAGCGGGGCTCTCGGTGCGAGCCAATAGCGAGGGTCACCGGGAGTGAGGAGTGGGGAGGGCGGGGCTCTGTAAGGCCGCCGCCATCTTGATGGGAGAGAAACAATAGGACGGAAGCACCGCGGGACAGGGCTGAGGACACAGGTAACGCCCGCTTTACCGTGCTAAGGCTTCGTCGCCCCGGGAGTTTTGGCGGAGGGTTTCTCAGGCCTGTTGTGGGATGAGGTCTCTGGTCATTAGGAGCATCCCCGGGTTGTTTGAGGAGGGGCTTCCGTTGTTATGGCGGAGGAGGATGAGGGATAGGAGATTCCCAGGGTCTTTGTGGGGCCGCATTTCCCCGGATCATTGGAGAGAGACGTTATTTCTTCAGGTTATTGCAAGAGAAGATCTACCCTGGTTTTGAGGGGCAGAATCTTCCCTGGTCGTTGAAGGTGTGTCCTGGATATTTGCGGGATGCAGGATCTTCCCTGGTCACTCAGACTCCTCGGGTCTTTGGGGAAGCAAGATGTCCCGGGTCATTGGTGGGTCTCCCCAGGACATTGGCGTTCATGATCTCCCGGGTTGTTGACAGGGGCCTCCTTAAGTGTTTGGGTGGAGGAGTCAACGAGCGCCTCAGGTGCTTTTACCTGGGGCCGGCAGATGTGCAGCCATTTTGAGTGTTGAATGGCAGTTGGGTTGTCGGCTAGCTGCTGTCTGGGGAAGAAATCTGTACACAACCTTATTGTCCAAAAACGTCCTTAAATGGATCAGAGGACGCTTTCTTTTAAAAGAAAAAAATGTTTTTATTGATTTTAGGGAGAGGAAGGGGGAGAGAGACACATCCATATGAGGGAGAAACATCAATTGGTTGCCTCCCCTACGCACCCTGCACCCCAACCGGGGATGGAACGAACCCACAACCTGGATATATATATACCCTGCCCAGAATCCAACAGGCACCTTTCAGTGCATAGGAGGACGCTTCAACCAACTGAGTCACACCGACCAGGGCAGAGGACACTTTCTTTGTAATGATAAGCCTCATCATGAGGGGAACTTTCATTTCTTTCAAATTTGATTACAGACTGCTTTTTGTTTTTGTTTTTGTTCTGTTTGAATTTAGAGAGAGATGGAAACATGGATGAGAGAGAACATCAGTTGGCTGCCTCCCGCATGCCCCCCGCTGGGGATTTGGCCCACAACCTGGGCATGTGCCCTGACAGATCCACAATCAACTGGAGACCTCTTGGTGCATGGGTCGATGCTTAACCACTGAGCCACATCGCTGGGCACTGCTTTTGGTTTTTGCATCCTAATGATTTGTTTCATTTTACTTCTTTATTTGGTCTTATATTAAGAAAGCTGCACTAGCAGAAAAATTAGTCCAACTGTGCAAATAAAATGTAGAAACCAGTAAAATCTAGTGGTCTTAAATGCCAGGGGAAATAGAACTAGTCACTGCTTGGAATGAAACATTTTCTCAGTGCTCTGGCCCAGTGGCTCAGTTGGTTGGGTTGTCCTCCCTTACACCAAAAGGTTGCGGGTTTGATTCCCAGTCAGGGCACATACTTAAGTTGTGGGTTTGATCTGGGTCCGAGTGCATATAGGAGGTGACTGGCCCATGTTTCTGCCTCAGATGGGTGTTTATCTCCCCTTTCCTCTCTAAAAGCAATAAAAACAGTTCGACTGGTGTGGCTCAGTGGTTGAGCATCAAGGACATCAATTGGGACATCAGTTGGTCACCTCCTGCATGTCCCCCACTGGGGATTGGGCCCACAACCTGGGCATGTGCCCTGACTGGGAGTCAAACCGGCGACCTCTTGGTGCATGGGTCAGTGCTCAACCACTGAGCCACACCAGCCGGGCCAATCAGTGTGTGTGTGTGTGTTTTTTTTTTTATCCTCACCCGAGGACATTTTTGCATTTATTTTCAACAGATAGAGTGGAGTGGAAGGGAGGGAGGGAGGAAGACAAAGAGGGAGGGAGAAGAGAGAGAGAAAAACATCGATATGAGAGCAGCATTGAGTGATAGCCACCCGCACAGGGGACAAACTGCAACGGAGGTACATGCCCTTAGTGTTTCTCAACCTTCCTAATGCCACCACTGTTTAATACAGTTCCTCATGTTGTGGTGACCCCCAACCATAAAAATATTTTTGTTGCTACTTTATAACTGTAATTTTGCTACCGTTATGTCTTAGGCGACCCCTGTGAAAGGGTCGTTCGACCCCCAAAGGGGTTGCAACCCACAAGTTGAGAACCACTGCCTTAGCGGGAACCGAACCCGTGCCTCTCTGGTCCGCGGGCCGACGCTCTAACCACTGAGCAAAACAGGCCAGGGCCAATTGATATTTCTATCTCTCTCTCTCCCTTCCTCTCTCTAAAATCAATAAAGAAAAAAAAGGAAAAAAAATACATAAAAGCAATAAAAACATTTCCTCAGATGAGGATTAAAAAGAAACCCCACGGTATTTTGGCAGCAAAGTGTACATAGAACAAGAATAAAATAAAATCACCTGGAAGAACAGTACTGAAACTTTTGAAAAGCAGTAACATGTTGCAGATAACCAGTTTTATGATAGTTCTGATAAAGCACCATGATTACAGTAATTTTGGTGAATTCTAGTATTTAAAATATTTGTTGTACTTGCATTTTTAACAGGGTAACATTTTAAGTGAACTGAGATGCTTATTTACATAAGTTGATGCTGTGGGGTTTGTATAATTGCATCCTGTAACCTGGTGTTAAGTATTTAAAGAGAAGTTTCAGGGTGTTGGTGGTGTTTTAACTTTAGCCACTATCAGAATTAGAAAGTGGGCAAAATGAATGCTCTATCATATTTGACGCAATGAGTCAGTTGATCGTTTAGTAACTTTTTCTTTGGATGGAAAGTCATTTGAACTGTTAACCGTTATTCCAATTTGTTTACCTGCTTTGTGATTTTAGAGTAGAATTCACAGGAATTGTTGGAAATCAAGTGGACTAGAACTAGAACTAGAGTTGATATAATTGTAAAAATCATTTAACAGATGTAGTAGACCTCTTTTGTGCTTCAAGGCTTTGAAAGTGACAGATAGGTGCATTGTATACCTGTATCTATCTGAGCAGTGGAATGTGTGAGGAAGGAACAGAGCTGACTGATGAACCTTACTGGTTTCCCTTGCAGAAGGGTGCCAGAGCTTTCTGTAAGCACTAGAGATGTCACTGGTATCTAGGCAACTGGGTTGAGTCTGAGCCTCCCTGAGGCCAGCTTGCTTAGGTGAAAATTTTTCATTGGCTCATAAAGGACATGCACTGGGGAAAAATATTCCCTTTAAGTAAAGTTGTTTTACCTAGTGAGATAATCACCTTAAACAAATTGAACATGTTTTTACATAGTAGAAAAAAATAAGTAGATGATTGCATTCATGTGATTACATTTTATTTATTTATTTTGAGAGAGAGAGAGAGAGAGAGAGGAAGGGAGAGTGAGACAGAGATAGAGACTTCCATGAGAGAGAACATTGATTGGCCACCTCCTGCATGCCCCCCCACTGGGGACTCAGCCCACAACCTGGGCATGTGCCCTGACTGACCAGGAATCAAACTGGTGACCTCTTGGTGCATGGGTCAATGCCCAACCACCGAGTCACACCAGCCAGGCACTCATGTATAATTCTTTATGTAGACATTTTTATTTCTCTTAGGTAAATACCTATGAGTAAGATTTCTGGGTCATATAATAAGTATATATTTAACTTTATAAGAAACTGCCAAACTGTTTTCCAAAGTTGTATCTTTTTGTATTTCTCCCAGCAATGTTTGAGAGTTCCAGTGACTGACCCTGATGGTAAAGACATGGAATGTGTGTGGATGTGTACAGATGCCCGGCAGTGGCTCTAGGGCTCACGGGAGAGCTCACGGAGAGGAGATGCAGGGTAATGAGGGTTGTTTTTCCACCATCAGGCTAGTGTGCCTCACCTCATCCCCTGTGACTACCCATACTTAGGGCTTTTCTTGAGACAGAGTAAGCAGCCCCAGCAGATCCCCTTTGTAGCCTCATTAACTAAATTCTAGATGTGTGAGCTAAGGGACCAGGGGCCCTCATGAGTCATAGCTGTTTTATTTGTAATATTTTAAAAGTTAAGAAATATTAAGGCATTGTTTCCAGTAGATCCTTAAACCAGTTTAATAAATTTAGGGGAGTGAGCTGTGGGGGAAAGTTGTGTCCTAGCCTAGGATGAATCCTGCTCTTTGTTCCTTACCTGCTCATAGTTTCATGGTCAAATGTGTGAAGCAATATAGAAAGTTACAGATGCTAAATCAGAAGCCAGTGTTTTGTGGTATTCTGTATCTCCATTGTAACCATTACTACTCCAGAATTCTTGGGAAACTGAGCCTTAGACTTTAGATATTTGAAAAACATTAAGAGACTCCCTTGCTCAAACCGCAGGTGGAACAGGAGAGAGTAACAGGTGAAGCAGTGCAGGTGCTTCGGGTGCTTTTCTTTTGAGGCTACTGGAGAAGTTGAAATGTGTAACCACTGGGAAGTTGATCCTTCATTTTCTGATAGGAATAGGACCTATAAGGGCCTGGAGAACAAAAGCCTTACTTCTTTGTCTGCAATCCCAAATGTGAAATATGTTGTATAGTGGAGTTATATTTATGTTCATATTGAGAGATTGAACCTAACTGAAATAAAAGAATCACAAAACAGGACTCACTTTATTATGTGCAGTGCATTGATATTTACTTGTTTTTCCTTTTTTAAAAAAAATATATTTTTATTGATAGTTCAGAAAGAGAGGAAGGGAGAGAGAGAGAGATACATCAACCAGCTGCCTCCTACATGTCCCCCACTGGGGATCAAGGCCACAACCCAGGCATGTGCCCTGGCCTGGAATCGAACCGGGACCTCTCAGTACCTGGGACGACACCCATTCCACTGAGCCACACCTGCTGGGCTGTTTTTCCACTCACTAATTTGATTACACTGCCCACAGAATAGAAATCTACTTCAGGCCTCTCGTCTGCATTTTACAGACCAGAAAACAAGTCTGTAAAACTTAAAGGGAGACAGAGATTTGGATACTTGCTCCAAGTAATCGAGTCACCTAAATACAGGATAATTTCCACCTCACATTTGGGAGTTCCCTCTGTCATCAGACTTGGCTTAGGTGAGAATGAGCTTTATTTTTCTTGCCTCTCTGCTCAAGATGATGATGATTCTCCAGGGAGCAATGTCCTGTAGACTGCCAGAGTTGGGTGCTGAGGGGAGGGTGGCAAAGTGCCACATCATACCCAGCAGCTAATGGACACACTGAGAACCAGGGAGGAGGAGCTAGGGACCCTAACCAGGCCTTTCAACCTCCAGCCACAGCCATCAACCATACCCTATAGAGAGCTGCTATGAAGGACTAGTTTTTGTTTGTTTTAGATTTGTCATTGGAGATGGGGATGGATAAGAGATGTCTGGAAAGAGATTTTTCTTCTTAATTTTTCTCCTATTTAAGGAATCTTGAACAGAGCTGGAAAGGGATTTGTATTGTTAGCATTGCTCTGATAACAGCAGTTTTACACTTTTATGAAAGGTTTTTGGATTATGTTTCTAAAGCCTAGCCCATGAAGAATGTCTTATACTTTCACAATTTAATAATTATGGTACCTGGTTTGTGCTTGGGTACTGGCAGGCTGACCATGAGTCAGTCGGTAGGTTTCTTTTTTCTTTTTTTGATGTGAATTAATTTTGATCCTTTATTTAATCATTAAATTTTTTTTTCTTTATTGATTTTTAGAGAGGAAGAGAGAGAGAGAGAGAGAGAAACATTGATGAGAGAACATCAGTTGGCCACCTCCTCCATGTCCCCCACTGGGATTGGTCCCTGACCAGGAGTTGAACCGGTGACCTCTTGGTGCATGGGTCGACACTCAACCAGTGAGCCACACTGGCTGGACAGTAGGTTTCTTTTGGCATTGCTCTTACTCAGGAGGTGTTTTCAGTAGAAGAGGGTAAACTACTCTCCACAGACCTAGAGAAAGGGCTTGTGTGGTCAGGCACCTCAGAGCTCCACCTTATGGAAAGAGTCTGAAATGGCTGGAATATACTCATCCTTAGGGCTGGTTGCCTGTGTTGTGTCTTGGGACTCTTAGCACATGCCCTCTGGAGAGCTTCTCTGATGATGAGAAGGTAGTACCAGGTGAGAAATTAGGACTTTTGGTTTTCTGCTCTTTGCATATAGGAAAGCTTATTGCTTCCTAATCCTTGAGTCTAGTTGGGGCCCACATTCGGTTTTCTCTGAAAGGAATTAATACCAGTTTAAACTCATTAAAAGAGGCTATATATATATATATATATATATATATAGTCATGTGCCACATAATGATATTTGGTTAACAGCAGACCACATTATGATGGCTGTCCCATAAGGTTATAATAGAGCTGAAAAATTCCTATCGCCTAGTGGTCTGTAACTGTGTTAACATTGTAGCACAATAGCCCTGGCCAGTTTGGCTCAGCAGTTAGAGTGTTGGCCTGTGGTCCAGAGAGAACCGGGTTCGGTTCCCGCTAAGGGCACGTATCTCGGTTGCAGTTTGTCCCCAGCCCTGGTTGGGTCGTGTGGGTGGCAACCACTCGATGTGTCCCTTTCACATCGATATTTCTCTCTCTCGCTCTCTCTCTCTCCCCCTCCCACTCTATCTGAACAAAAATAGAAAAATGTCCTCGGTGAGGATAAAAAAAATTTAAAAAACAAAAAACAAAAACGTAACACTACACATTTCTCACATGTTTGGTAATGACTGGTATAAACAAGCCATCTACCAGTTGTATGAAAGAATATAGCACATACAGTTAGGTACAGTGCATAATACTTAACAATGATGATAAATGATTATGTCACTGATTTATATATTTACTGTACTATACATTTTTTTTTTTGAGAGAGGAAGGGAGAGAGAAACATTGGCTGCCTCTCACACGCCCCCCTACTGGGGATTGAGCCTGCAACCCGGGCATGTGCTATGACGGAATTGAACCGGGGCCTCTCAGTCCATGGGAAGACACTGACTCCACTGAGCCACGCCACACCAGCTGGATGTACTATACTATACTTTTTTTTTTTTTTTAAGTATTTTTCTTTATTGGTTTTAAAGAGAGAAGAAGGGAGAGGGAAAGAGAGATAGAAACATTAATGAGAGAACATCAATTGGCCACTTCCTGCATGCCCCCCACTGGGGATTTGACTCACAACCTGGGCATGTGTCCTGACTAGGAATCAAACCAGCGACTTCTTGGTGCATGGGTTAATGCTCAACCACTGAGCCACACCAGCCGGACACTATACTATACTTTTAATCATCATTTTAGAGTGTACTCTTTCGCCCTGGCTGGTTTGGTTCAGTGGTTAGAGTATCAGCCGGCGGACAAAGGGTCTGGGATTTGATTCCCGGTCTGGGGCATGTACTTGGGTTGCAGGTTTGATCCCTGCTCCTGTTAGGGTCGTGCAGGAGGCAGCCAATCGATGCCCCCCCCCCATCTAAAAATATCCTTGGATGAAGATTACCAACAACAACAAAAAATAGAGTGTATTATTTCTGCCTTCTTTTTTTTATCCTTACCTGAGGACATTTTTCCATTTTTGTTCAGATAGAATGGGAGGGAGAGAGAGAAAGAGAGAGAGAGAGAGAGAGAGAGAGACATCGATGTGAAAGGGACACATCAAGTGGCTGCCACCCGCACAAGCCAACCAGGGCCGGGGACAAACTGCAACCTAGGTATGGGCCCTTAGCGGGAACCGAACCCAGATCTCTCTGGACCGCAGGCCGACGCTCTAATCGCTGAGCCAAACTGGCCAGGGCATCTACTTTTTTTTTTTTTAAAGGGGGTTTGCTATAAAAAGTATGCACGTTATGCCAGCAGCAGCCTTGTACATCTTGTGTTTACAGTGCCTCTTGATTGCATCATTTTCTCTTGTGTTTGATTTAATCTGTGTTGTTTTGTACAGTAACGTGCTCTACAGGCTTGTAGCCTAGGAGCAATAGGCTATACCATATAACCTACCTGGAGTAGGCTGTACCATCTAGGTTTGTGTAAGTGCACTCTGATGTTTGCGCAATGAGAAAATCACCTAATGATGCATTTCTCAGAATGTACCCTTGTTGTTAAGTGGCGGGTGACTGTATTTCATAAGTCAAAACTATAAATACATAGTGAAAGCACTCTAATAGGACAAGCTACATGTCCCAAGTACATGGGAGTGTTATACCAAGACAGACCCTGAGTGCTAGTGGGAGCATCAATGATAGAGGTTCGTTTGGGAACTGAGGTTTATTTTCTCTTACCCTGGATGAATTTCCCACCTCCTGAATCAGCTTTATTGTTTGCAACAGGGAAAGTAGTATCTACCTCTTAGAAAGCATCATAAGGAGCCCAGCAAGTGAGGCTCAGTGGTTGAACATCGACCCATGGACCAAGAGGTCGCCGGTCAGGACACATGCCCAAGTTGCAGGCTTAATCCCCACTGAGAGGCGTGCAGAAGGCAGCCGATTGATGTTTTTCTCTCCCTCTCCCTTCTTCTCTCTCTAAAAATCAAATATTTAAAAAAAATTTTAGGAAGTATCATGAGGACTAAATCAGGTATGTTCCTGCAGTGAGCCTGGTACATAATAGGAGCTTTACTCACCTTAGAGGACAGTGGGCACATCTCCAGCAAGCCATCCTCACCACCACCATCTCAGTTGGGAGTCATGGGAACCAGAAGAATTCCCAGGAAGAAACCCTGTACAGATATTGAAGTGTAGTCCAAGTCCTGTAAGTAGTGCTAGTAGTGACAGTGTAGTCTGTAAATTACAGACAGAAAACAGACATGCCTAAGACTTTTCACAGTTGCATAGAGGTGTGCTTTGCTGAGATCCAGTGTATTTGGGAATGTAAGTCAGGTATAAGGCCCTGGACCTCAGAGTGGGAAGAGCTGTAGTTGCCCCAGTGGTGCAGCTTTGGTTTAAAGGTGTGTCCCAGCTTTTGGAGATCAGGATAGAACTGATAAAAATAGTTGGTGACCTAGAACACTGCGTATCTTTTTAAAGGGAGTTAACCAGCCTTGATCAGTTGTTTTTAGATACAGACGTTAATCATTAAAGCTAGGCCCTAACTCCTCTGCTAATAAGGTTAATGGGGCATGTCTTTGGCCTTGGGTAGGGATGGTGTGTGTGGACACCCTGGTGGAGTAAATTTTAATTAGATAGCGTGTAAGCAGTTGTTCCCTTTAAAACTAAAAAAAAACAAAAAAAACAAAAACCTGGGCATGTGTCCTGACCAGGAATTGAACTGGCAACCTCCTGGTGCATGAGTCGACGCTTGACGCTCAACCGCTGAGCCACACCAGTGGGACAGTTGTTCTCTGTAAATGCATTTTATAAAAACATAATTGCCCTGGCCAATGTGGATCAGTGGTTGAAGTGTTGGCCTGCACACTGAAGAGTCACAGGTTCAATTCTCGGTCATGTACCTGGGTTGTAGGTTTGATCCCTGGCCCCAGTGGGTGGGAGGCAATCAATAGATGTGTCTCTCTCTCTCACTGATGTTTCTCTCTTTTTCCCCCTTCCACTTTCTAAAAGTCAATGGAAAAAATGTCCTCGGGTAAGGATTAACAACAAAAAACCAAAAATATAACAACCAAGAGTGAACCCTAATATAAACTATGATGATGTAGGTTCATCATCATTTGTAACAGATGTATTGCACTGATGGGGAGTTCTGATAATGGGGGAAGTTATGCATATGTGGGGGCAGGTGGTTATATGGGAAAGCTCTATCTTCCTTCTTAATTTTACCATTAACCTAAAACTGCTCTAAAAAACATTTTTTAAATAATATATAATTAATGAAGAGACTTAGACATTAATTACCTTAAGTTTAACAATTTTATTAGAATATAGTAAGATTTAATTCAAATATTAGGTTTGAAATTATGACTTTCCCTCGGTGTGGCTTGGAGTTTTGCCCGATGCAGTGGCTGTCTAAGACGGGCTGTTTAGAGGCACTTGGAACCAGTCTCGGAGTGTAGGCATCCGGCCGCGCCCAGCAAGAGCTCTGGCTGTTTGTTTCTGTGGGAGGAGGCGGGGCCAGAGTGGGTGTTATGGGTCAGCACCCTGAGTGAGCTCAGTCTGTTTGTCTTGCTGCTGGAGGAGGGTTACCGCTTAAAGGCAGAGGCAGTTCCCAGGCCACTTCCAACTCCTGTCACTGTTTGCTTCTGGCAGAGCATCCTGACCTGTGCAACCAAGGAGCCTAGGCCAGACACACCAACACACGACAGAGGACAAACGGAGGACGCGCTGGCCCCTGGACCCTGCCGCCTCCCTCTTCTTCCTGGCGCCTGCCCCTGGAGGATGAGCCCAGCCTTCAGGGCCATGGACGTGGAGCCCCCCACCAAGGGCGTCCTGCTGGAGCCCTTTGTCCACCAGGTTGGGGGCCACTCCTGTGTGCTCCGTTTCAACGAGACGACTCTGTGCAAGCCCCTGGTCCCGAGGGAGCACCAGTTCTACGAGACTCTCCCAGCGGAGATGCGAAAGTTCACTCCCCAGTACAAAGGTGAGCCCCCAGCTGCTGATAGGCGTCTCCACTGGCGAGGACATGTGAGGCAATACAAGGCGTTGTGACCTCCATGGCAGCCATACTGGGAGCCCTCACCCCCTCCCACTTACTCTGTGTTTTCCCTCCTCCTCCTCCTTTTGGCCCTCAGCCCAGCACCTCACACCCTCAATTTTCAAGTCCTGGTAAGATTGCTCAATTGTCTTTTGTTTTGTGGATTGTTTTGAGTTTTTTTTTTCTTTTGGTTTTTGGTGGAAGTGTAGTTGTGTTTTATGTTCAAGTGTCTCTTGATCACAGTAACCCATAGTCTCCATGGAGGGACAGCGGGGGAAGACTTTGGGAGGATTTTACCCAGAATACTTGCCGCCTGCTTTTTGTCCTCCAGAAAACCAGAAGCCCTGGTGATTAGGTAGGCTTGGGAGCAGGGTTGAGTCAGATGGAATGCAGGAGTGGGAGGCCTGTGCTGATTATCGGAAGCCCATTGCTGTTACGGAATGTCCCTAAAATTGCTATGTTACAGCAACCTTTTGATTCACATATGGTGACTCTGTCTTTTTATAATGCATTTTGGGGGGATATCAGCAGCCACTAGCATGGTGTGGTTTTTCCTGGGGAGGCGGGATCCTTTGTAAATCAAGGAAGAATCCATTAAGGAAATTAATTTAAAATTTGTATTGCCTGATTATACAAAAGACTCTTGAACAACTTAGGTTCTTCTGGGACTATTGAAACATACTTTTTGAAGACAGAATGTACTGGGCGCCTCTCTTTGTATTCTAAATATGCATGTGTGTTGTGGTGGGGTGGGAGAGTTGGGGGCCCTCACTTGGTCCTTCTCTGTTGTTTTTTCCAGGACAAAGCCAAAGGCCCCTTGTTAGCTGGCCGCCCCTGCCCCCTTTTTTCCCTGGTTCTTTCCCAGTGGCCACAGGGAAGTGTGGTCCCTGAATTCCCTACCCTCTGCGCCCAGAGCCGGGGACCACCTCAGAAGTGTCGTCTCTCTCTGAGCATGCATTCCCCTGCAGCGGGCGGGCAGCAAGGACTGAGCAAATTGAGTGATCCTGGGCCAGAGAGGTCTGGGAGGAAAAGTGTTCAGCCAGTCGGTTGTAAGGCGCTCGTCGGCACCTGCTGAAATGCTGCCACTTGACAAACCCCTCTTCAAAGACTGACTAATTACACATGGCAGGTTCTAGAGACTGAAGGGGGAGAGAGCTGCTTTCAAGGCCACCACGCATCTGTGCTCCCAGCCCAAGTCTATTTGCCTTATGTTTATTTTGTTCTTTTGTGATATGAGACCTCAAGAGACCAATAAAGTAATATATTTGAGAAGGACAAAGAGGCTTGGGGCGCCCACCCATATGGAGGTGCTGCAAGAAGCCTTTACTAGGGTGTCTGTTGTGCTGTGTGGTTTGTTTTGTTTGCTCCTTTATTTTGTTTTGCTTGCCCAGTTTCTCCTTACCCTTGAATGCTTCTTACCCCTCAGGCAAACCTGTGTTCCCCGTGTTCAGGCTCTACTTTAAAGTAAGCCTCGAGGCCGTCGGAGTTTCTGTTTAGGGCATTAAAAATTCCCACAAGATATAAAGAGCAAATGTTTTTACATCTCTCTTAGGATTAGAAGAATTACATAAAATTAATAAACATGTTCAATGATGGAAAAATGTGTCTTGTAATTCTTTGGCTCTTGCCTTGTTGAGTGCATCAGAGAGGAAGACTCTCGGCCGTGTTTACTCCCTAATTGCTTGTCTGTATGGTGTCATCTTTTCTAGCTGTTTTGATATTTGTTAGGTTTGCAGATGAGTTTGGGGCCTCTGGCAACCTAGAGACTAAGGAACAGGGTAAGAAAAAAAACACAAATGTTACAATCATGTTATTTATAACACATGTGGAATTAAAAGTACTCTGCTTCTGTGGAATTAAAAGTCCTCTCTGCTCCTCACCCCCTTTCCAGGTGTGGTATCTGTGTGCTTTGATGAAGATGAAGACAGGAACTTGTGTTTAATAGCATATCCATTAAAAGGGGACCATGGAACTGTGGAAAATGTAGACAATTCAGACTGTGAACCAAAAAGTAAGCTCCTGAGGTGGACAAACAAAAAACATCATGTCCTAGAAACGGAGAAGACCCCCAAGGACTGGGTGCGGCAACACCGGAAGGAGGAAAAGATGAAGAGGTGGGTATAAACTGAGAAGAAAACCCTGAACTCTGTGGGAGGGAGGTGTCAGGGATCTTAATTACAGCTCAGTGCCCTGGACGTAAGGACTCACTTCATGGACTTAATAGGTGCCTTGTCACTTAGTGGCCAGTTTTCCAAATGGCATGCCCAGCTTCTTTGTAATTAATATTGCATTAAATTATGCCAATTTGGGAAAACATCTGTAGTGGCAGCTGTAAAAGAATTTCAGTCACTTATTCTTTCCGTGCCAGGATATAGTAGTGACTAAGACAGCCATTTGATTCAGGTCGGTCACTGATAGTAGGAGACAAAATGGTCTCCTGGGCATCCCCTAAACTCAGGAATCCACCTAGGCAGGGCTTCCAAGTGCCACACCTTGGCAGAGCTTGTAAAAATATAAATTGAAGTATGTATAATGTAGTTAAGTAGGCTGACTTATTACCGTGGGATTTCAGTTCAGATTTCCCGTCTCCAGCATGTGGAATCAGGGAGTTTAGATGTACCAGAAGCCAAGGGTGGTACTGTCTAGAAGAGGGCAGTGTAGGCTGCCTGGTGGGGCCACGGGGGGAGGCATCATAGGTTCTTACATTGTAGGTTAGGTTCTCCTTAATATAGAAAATCAGTGAGGTGGACTCTTAATTTTTAAAAATCAACTTTCTTGTATCCATACAATGGCAAAGTGCTTGATGTGTACAATGAAGCCACCATATCAAGATACCAACTTTCCCATCACTCCAGAAAGTTCTTTGGCTCTGAATTTTGATAAGACGTTATGATTTATTGACTCCTTATCTTTTTATAGTCATAAGTTAGAAGAAGAATTCGAGTGGCTAAAGAAATCGGAAGTCTTGTACTACAGTGTAGAAAAAAAGGGGAATGTAAGTTCCCAACTTAAACACTATAACCCTTGGAGCATGAAGTGTCACCAGCAACAGTTACAGAGAATGAAGGAGAATGCAAAACATCGGAACCAGTACAGTATCCTTGGTTTAAAGGGCATCTCTGTCTTAGGGAGGGTGAGGAGAGTAAGGAGACCCTTGGAGCTTGGAGAAAAGGGTTGGAGTTTTTAGTCATGGTTGTGCCGGGACACTACTATGTGATAGATGTAGGCATATATTACTTCCCTTGGGGCCAAGGACTGATCTGGGAATGCGGCAGGCAGGGGTGGGGGGTTGAGGAGTTTTGAGGGGTAAGCTGCTTCTCATGGAGGGACCAACCTGTATCACAGGGGCCTTTGGCCTAGAGTGAAAGGGGCAGGTTCGTGTTTCAGACTCCTACAGAAGCTCCCAGTGCTTGCCTGCCAAGGGCCAGCTAGGAGAGGACTGACCTCTGTTAGTCCTCGTTCTCCAGACTGGCACATGAAGAAAGCACAAGGAAGGTCCCTTTATTCCCCCTTCTTTTACCAATTAAGCTATGTATGACTGGGTTTTTTAAAAAAAATCATATGGGGAAAAAGTCCTCAGAATTGAGTGTGTTTTATGATGTTTTATTTTTAACATTTTATCAGAAAAAAATTTAAACCTGTTAAAAATAGGAAATGTTGCCTGGCCCAAGTGAGTCAGTGGCACATGCCCAGGTTGTGAGCCTAATCCTCAGGGGGACATGCAGGAGGTAGCCAGTTGATGTTCTCTCTCATCGATGTTCCTGTCTCTCCCTGTTTCGTCCTCTCTCTCTCTCTCTCAAATCAATAAAGAAAAAAAATTAATAAGAAAAAATGTTTAACCTTTTTCCCATGCTTTATTTTTTTTTATTTATTCATTTATTTTATTTTTCATCCTCACCTGAGGACATTTTTGCATTTATCTTCAGATAGACTGGGAGGGAGAGAGAGAGAGAGAGAAACATCAATGTGAGAGAGACACATCGAGTGGTTGTCACCCACACGACCCCAACCGGGGCTTGGGACAAACTACAACCGAAGTACATGCCCTTAGCGGAAACCGAATCCGGGCCTCTCTGGGCCACAGGCTGATGCTCTAACCACTGAGCCAAACCGGCTAGGGCTAACCTTTTAAGTCACCCAGGTTCAGCAGGAAACCCACTCATGTCATGACTATATATACTCAGCATCCCGCAACTGAACTATTTCTGAGGCAAGTCTTAGGTATAACATTTCACTTGTGTACACCTTGGCATGCATCTCTAAAAGACAAGGGTATTTTAAAACATTGATACCATTATTACTCTTCAAAAAGTGAACAGTAATTTCTTACTATGCAGTCCCTAGTTTGTGTCCATATTTTTCTAATTGTCTGATGAATAAGTTTTTACTGATAGTTTCTTTGAATGGGGATCCAGATGAGGCTCATGTACTGCATTTGGTTGAAATGTTTAAGTCTTTTCAAATACCCTTGTTTTTTCTTGGAAATTTCTTGCCAAAGGAACTGGGTCTTCTAGAGTTTCCCACATCTGGATTTTACTGATCATGTCTCTGTGGTGTCTTTTACATGTTACTTTGTCTCCATTAAGTTGATCATTTGATCTACAGGCTTGATCAGATTTGGAGAGGATGAGGATAAGAGCCTCTCAGACATGGTGTTATACATGTCCACCGGGCAGCCTGGTGTTTAGTTGTCTTTCTCTTTTGTATTGTCATTGCCTTAGATCTGTGTTTTCACTAGGTGATTTTCTAATTTTGTCATTCCTTTATTCATTAGCTGGAATCCTATTATAAAGGCAAACTTTTCCTCATCAACTATGTGCTTATCCTGATGTATAGTTAATATAGGGAAGGCAGATTAAATTTTCCTGTATTTACTGGATATGTATTTAGAGTAATGAATAGGTTTCTTTTTTTTTAATCCTCACCCAAGGATACTTGCATTTTATCTTCAGACAGAGCTGGAGGCAGGGAGGGGGAAGAGAAAGAAACATCGAGCAAGAGAGACACATTGAGTGGTTGCCACCCACATGACCCCAACCAGGGCGGGGACAAACTGCAACCGAGGTATGTGCCCTTAGTGGGAACCGAACCTGGGGCTCTCCGGTCTGCAGGCCGACACCATAACCGCTGAGCCAAACTGGCCAGGGCATGAGTAGATGACCAGTGAGTTAAAAAAAAAAAAGTTTTTTTTTAAGAGAGAGAGAGAGAAAACATTGATCAGCTGCCTGCATGCCCCTACTGGGGATCCAGCCTGCAACCCGGGCATGTGCCCTGACTGGGAATTGAACCAAGACCTCTCGGTCCATGGGACAATGCTCAATCCACTAAGCTACACCAGCCAGACACCAGTGAGTTTTTTAGCATCATTATGAATCCATAAATTCAAACATATTTGACATGTTTTAATCCATTACAGTTTTCCTTATTGATGTTCAAATTGTCTCATGTTTTGCCTATTAGGAGACTTTTTATTTATTTATTTTTTTATTATTATTATTTTTTAATCCTCACCCGAGGACATTTTTCCATTTTTTGTTCAGATAGAGTGGGAGGGAGAGAGAGAGAAACATCGACGTGAAAGGGACACATCGAGTGGTTGCCACCCGCACGACCCAACCAGGGCCGGGGACAAACTGCAACCAAGTTACATGCCCTTAGCGGGAACTGAACCCCGGTCTCTCCGGACCGCAGGCTAACGCTCTAACCGCTGAGCCAAACCGGCCAGGGCAGGAGACTTTTTAAATAAGCTCCTGAGTCATTCTGATACAATCACAATAATCTGTGATAGCTGTCTTCAACTTTCTAGTATAGAAATATGTCCAGAGTCATGTATGTTTCCTGCTCCAGATGTGAATTGAATCATTCCTTTAAGGCAGGGGTTACAAACCTTATCAGTTAAAAGACCAAATAGTAAATATTTTAAGCTTTGTAGGTCACACACTTTCTGTTACAACTCTGTCATTGTAGCATGAAAGCAGCAATAGATAATAAATGAACGAGTATGGCTGTATTCCAGTAAAACTGTTTATGGCCACTGAGATTTGAATTTCATTTTGTGTGTGTGTGTGTATCAGTAACTCTTAAAAATGTAAGAACCGCCCTGGCCGGTTTGGCTCAGCGTAGTGTCAGCCCATGGACCAATGAGTACTGGCTTCTATTCCAAACAAGGGCACATACCTAGGTTGCAGTTTGTCCCTGGCCCTGGTCGGGGTCGTGCGGGAGGCAGCCAGTTGATGTGTCCCTCTCATGTTGATATTTCTCTTTCTCCCTCTCTCTCTACCTGAAGATAAATAGAAAAATATCCTTGGGTGAGGATTAAAAAAAATAATGTAAGAACCATTCTTAGTCTTAAAAGTTGTATGTATAACAATGAGCAGGGGGCCACAGTCATCAATCCCTGTTCTAGGAGCACTGGTCTGGGGCTAGGGGTGCATCAATATTTCTCTCTCTTCCTCCCTCCCTGCCTCCCACTCTATCTGAAGATAAATGAAAAAATATCCTCCTGTGAGAATTAAAAAAAGAAACATCTATGTAAGAGAGAAACATTGATTGGCTGCCTCCTGCACGCCCCCTACTAGGCTTAGAGCCTGCAACCTGGTCATGTGCCCTCAGCAGGAATCCAATGGGGACCTCTCAGTCCCTGGGATGATGCTCAATCCACTGAGCCACACCAGCTGGGCAATACACATTAGATTTTAAAGGGAAAACTTTTCATGAGTTCATACTGAAGCCTCCAGTTCATATTTAACACTACAGGATTTACTGAACTTATTTGATGTTCTATTTGTAATTTAGGCCAGTATGCTGTTGGATACTGGTCCCACACCTTGCTAAGTTCACAAAATGGGGGAGCCCAGGCCTGTGTTGAGTTCTGAGATTGTTCTCGGGGAAGTTCCCTGTTGAGAACTGAAGGTTCCTTTTGCCCTGTAGTGAGCCTTGGGCTCCTTTTGTGGGAGATGGCAGGACTGATGGGGCCCTCTGTGGTCTCGGACTTTTCTGGGCACTGTGTAGGCATTGTACCCTGCGAGTGCCAAGGACCTGTGCAGTAGCATCACCTCTTTAGAGGGTTTATTTTCCTTAACCACTCAGAATTTATCTTACTGGAGAATCTGACTTCCCGATATGAGGTGCCTTGTGTCCTGGACCTCAAGATGGGTACACGCCAGCATGGTGACGATGCTTCAGAGGAGAAGGCAGCCAACCAGATTCGAAAATGCCAGCAGAGCACATCTGCAGTCATCGGTGTGCGCTTGTGTGGCATGCAGGTAAGGGGAGGGCTGGTGTGGCGTGTGGGCGGGCTAAGTCGTCCATTGGCTGCCACTCCCCTACCCCAGTTAGCAAAGAAAGCATGCTTGCCTGGGTGATCTTTGTGGCTGGCCTGGCTGGCTGGCTGAGTCCAAAGTCTGTGGATAGGAGGAAGAGAAAGGCAAGAGGGTTAGGTCCTCTCCTCCAACCATATACTGAACAGGAGGGCTGGGGATGGAGCCCAAGTCAGAGGGCTATATCCTGAGTGGATGTTGATTGGAGAGGACAGCATCTCCTGTGACTCAGCAAGTTAAAGGATCTGATCCAGGGCTATTATCACATCCACTGCCCAGGGGCCTGGCTTTGGGGTGGCTGTCAGCACCTAACCTGCAGGTCTCCCTCCCACAGGTATACCAGGCGGGCAGTGGGCAGCTCATGTTCATGAATAAGTACCATGGACGGAAGCTGTCAGTGCAGGGCTTTAAGGAGGCACTTTTCCAGTTCTTCCACAATGGGCGGTACCTGCGCCGCGAGCTCCTTGGCCCTGTGCTTAAAAAGCTGGCTGAGCTCAAGTCTGTGTTGGAGCGACAGGAGTCTTACCGCTTCTACTCAAGCTCCCTGTTAATCATCTATGATGGCAAGGAGCGGCCTGAGGTGGCCCTGGACTCAGATGCTGAGGATTTGGAAGACCTGTCGGAGGAGTCAGCTGACGAATCTGCTGGTGCCTATGCCTTCAAGCCCATCAGCACCAGCTCTGTGGACGTGCGAATGATCGACTTTGCACACACTACCTGCAGGCTGTATGGCGAGGACAGCGTGGTACACGAGGGCCAGGATGCTGGCTATATTTTTGGGCTCCAGAGCCTGATAGACATTGTCACAGAGATAATTGAGGAAAGTGGGGAGTAGAGCTTGCTGACTGCACCAGCACTTGACTCTCTGTGTCCTAGGCACAGCTGTGCTGTGTCGGGGAGGAAGCCAGTATGGCCAGGTGGTGGCCTCTGCAGCCTGGAGCTGATGCACAGAGGCCTCTGTGAGTCCCAACCTGAGCCAGCCCCAGCCACGCTCGGAGTCTTTATTTATTTTAACTGTTTCCTCAACATTCCACATTTGATGATGGATACCTCTTTCTTCCCTGAGTGTAAATGTTCTAATACAAATCCTTTTGTTAATTGTATACAGTGCTGCTGTCATTTTTTTATTGGATTTATTGGGGTGACATTGGTTAATAAAATTATATAGATTTCAGGTATACAATTCTACAATACCATCTGTATATTGTATTGTGTGTCTACCACCCCAGGGCAAGTCTCCTTCCATCACTGTTTATTCCCCCTTTACCCTCTTCTATCTTCCCCATCCCCCTTCCCTCTGGCTGCTGTTGTCCTTACCAGAGGCAGGCAGCCAGCTCCCCTTCCAACCCTCAGAAGCCTCACCATACTGTGACCTTCACCCTGGCCCAGCAGTAGTATTTTTGCCACTGCCTCCATTCCAATGGCCTTAAACTCACCACAGCCTCTTGTCTTGGTCCTCAGTTCCCTAACCTAGCACCCTGTGGTCACCCATAAAAGACCCCTCACAAGTATAACCTTAGCCGGGTTCCTGTGGGGTCTTTGCTAGCCTAGTGTCCCATCACCTCCTATGGAAAGAACACTGGACTCTAGACAGAGGTCTTTTTCTGCCCTCTTGCAGCTTAAGCCAAACCTGGCAGCAGCTAACTGGCTGGACACTATGTGGTTCCAGAGGGCCTAGAACCAATATTGTAGCCTCAAGTAGCCACCAGCCTCTGGTCTGTTGGCAGCGATGGGCTCTGTGGTAAAGGGTCCCAGGAGGTGGGTGTTTAATGAGGGGGTGTTCTACACAGGTTGGTGGTCGCAGCCTCACCACCTGTCACCACTACCCAGTCCTGGGCCCCCTTGCAACTGTGCCCATCATCCTTGCAGCTCCAGCCAGGGCAGCCCCGAGGAGAGCTATTTGTGCTCTGTGCTAGGAGTGTTTCTGGGAGGAGGATATATAGCAGGTCTTGAACTGCAGAACCAGACCCCAGGGAGAAGGACACAAACCTGGTACCAAGAGTGCAGGGTCTGGATGTACAGTTTTTAGCAGTCCCATCCCTCTTCTGAACCTCCCAGCATCTCCAAGGCCCAGTATTCTTATGTCCACTATGTCCATAAACAGGATAAGTGCATACACTGGTTTGATTGTGCTCACACCCCTGCTCCCTGGGCCCAGGCTTCCAGTGGGGAATATGGCTAGACCTACCCCTGGGCAGAAATGGGAGATCCCCAGAGACCCTCTCTTAAGACCCTTAGGACCTTTCCCTGGGGTTCCCCCTATTCCTCTTAGGACTTCAAAGACCTCTCCAGGTTAGGACTGACTTGTGAGTGGGTCAAACAGCTCTTAAGACTACACTCCTCACCCTCCGCTAGCTTTCCTGTCTACTCTCTGAAGGGAGTATCAGAAATAAGATAATTTGGAGTTGTAAATCCTATAAAAATAAAACAGCCCTGACCAGTTTTGCTCAGCGGTTAGAGCGTCGGCCTGCGGTCCGGTGAGACCCGGGTTCGGTTCCCGCTAAGGGCGCATACCTTGGTTGCGGTTTGTCCCTGGCCCTGGTTGGGTCGTGTGGGTGGCAGCCACTCGATGTGTCCCTTTCACGTCGATGTTTTTCCCTCTCTCTCTCTCTCTCTCTGTTCCTCTCTCCCTCCCACTCTATCTGAACAAAAAATGGAAAAATGTCCTCGGGTGAAGATTAAAAAAAAAAAAAAAAAAAGAACAGAGCAATATGAAACCTATACAAAGTTGTGGGAGCCTCCGGATGCTGTGAAGGAGGAAAGTGTGTCCCAGGCAGAGGATCACACAAAAGACAACCTTAAAGGAAGAGAGAAGCTAGCAGCTGAAGAGAGGAAGCAGGGTGGGGAGCAAGGAGAGGACTTTGTACAGGGGAATGACCCGACCTGGTTTCTCTTTCTAAGACCCCCCTCCTCACTCTTGCTTCCCATTGCCCACAACTCGCGCGGTAAGTGGCCGGAGCTGCCACTTCAAGAGGGACCATAAGAGCTAAAACACCGAAGAGAACTGGCTCCCGCGGGGCCTCCAAGTGTCAGGGCTGTGAGATCCAACAAACGAACAACCCTCACAGGGTCGCCATCCTTCCAGTTAGGTGGCGGGTACGCAAAGGACACAGGTTCTGCCGTAGGGCTGCGGGCGGAGCACTCCTCGGGGAGGTAGTAGTGCGAGTCAACGCACTGGGGCTTGAGCGGGGGAAAGGAATGGAGGTCTGGGCGGGAGAAGCCTGGGGCTCTGGGGAAGGGGGCCCTAGCGGAGGGGCGGAAGGGCAGCGACCTTTAATCGCAGAGGTCCAGGGCCCGAGGGACCGCGGATTCTTGGCCGTTTGAGGCCGCCAGGGGGCGCGGCGTCTGCGTGCGGGGGCGAGGGGCGGGGCTGCGGCGGGCGGGCGCGCGCGCGTACGCGTCGTCTGTCACGGGGCTCCCGGGAGCGGCGCTCGCGGCCTGGGTTCTGGTTCTGCAGCCGTCACCGCCTCCCCTGCCCCAGCGCGCCCCGGCTCGGCCCCATGTATCGCGCTCTGTATGCGTTCCGCTCGGCGGAGCCTAACGCGCTGGCGTTCGCTGCAGGCGAGACGTTCCTGGTGCTGGAGCGCAGCAGCACGCACTGGTGGCTGGCGGCGCGGGCGCGCAGTGGCGAGACGGGCTACGTGCCTCCCGCCTACCTGCGCCGCCTGCAGGTGAGTGCGCCCCTCCTCGCCGGGCTTCCGCGGCCCCTAGGCTGGGCCTTATTGCTGGCTCGCAGGACCGACCCCGGAACGCCAGGTCCCCGGGACCTCCTGTAGAGAGGGAGTTTGAGAACCTGACCCTGAGACCCCAGGTCCACGAGGATCGGGACCGCAAGAGCTCGCACCTCCACATAAAACCAGGCCCTTGATAGCCAAGTCTAAGGACTTAAGACCTACCAAAAACCCGGCTCTGGGACTGAGACTCCTTGGGATCCTAGACCCAATGGGACCCAGTATCTGAACCCTCATCTAAACGGAATTCAAGAGTCAGACTTGGATTCCAGCCACACTGAATTCGAACCAGTTCCCCAGATCCCTAAGACTCCAGACCCTTAATCGGCCCCTCCTCTGTATCCCCAGGATCCCACACTCTTGCCTCTCACCCTCAGACCTCACCTGGAGCCATTGCTTCCACCACTCAGACTTGGGCTACCCTGGATACCACCTGTTTCCACAACCATCCTCCATGTCCTCACTCCCCCCCCCCACACACACACACTTGGACCCTGTAGACATGGGCACCCCCATCCCCTCAAAACCCCGAGACTTCAGTGTCTTTCACTATCCTATATTTAGCCACTCCCTAAGCTCTTCCTAAGACCACCCACCCACCCACTTTGAACCAAGGATCCCAGCCCCTGCAGACACTTCCTGGCACTACTCCCCACCCCCACTCCCACCCCCCCAGCCTCAGGTCCTGACTTTTCACACTTCCTTTCTTTGAAAGTGAGGGACCTCCATCCCTCCTTGTCCCCAGCCTGGAGGGGGGCTGCTCCCATTGTGAGGAAATGAGACCTCCCCATGGCTTCCCCTGGTATAATTATGGCCCCATTTCTTTCCAGTGGAGGCTGCAGCCCCAGTTCCTGTTTCCCTAAGAATAGTTCTGCTGTTGTGGCTGGGGGACAGTGTTTCCAGCTGGTCCTTTCTGACCACAGGGAAGAAAGGCCTGGAGACTCCAGGCCTGGCCAGTGCCAGACACCCCGTGCCATCCTAGCCCCTAGCCTTTAGTAAACATCTTGTCCCAGCCCAGTTCAGGACAGAAATAACAGGATAAATTTGGAGATGTCATCTGGTCTTACCAGAGGAATGGTCCCTGGGCCCTGAACCCTCGGCCTGATCCCATCTAGGCGTGCCTGGAGTGACAGTGGGGACTGCTGGACATCAGGGCTGCTGGGTCTGGAGTGAGCATGTCAGACCCAGCCTCTCTGGGGTTAGGGGTTTGTGGAGGCCTCTGAGGAAAGTCCTGCCTCTGGTACATGGTCCTGTGAAGCCCCCCTGGCCAGGGCCAGTAGGGCAGGGAGTCTAGGGAAGGCAGAAAGGCCACCGTCTTCTCTGTATCATGGTTTCTTTCTACAAATCTCCCTAACTCTCTTTTTCTAACTCTCCACCTTTGTGTGTCTTTCTTCCTGCAAATCTCTCCGTCTGTCTCTGGCCCTCAATTTCTTTCTGCGTTGTCTCCCTCTGCCCGCCTCTCCCCACCCCCTCTCTCTATCTCTGTCTTTCTTATTTTCTCTGTGTGTGTCTTTTTCTCTTTCTGTTCCCTCTTTCTGTCTTCTGTTGCCCTGTACTCTGGAACGCCCCATGTTACCTGCATGACTTTGCTGACCTCTACATGCATCCATCTGTCCCCATCAAACCTGCTCTGTAGAGATGTCACCTTGGTTCTGAAACTTCTTTGTAGCCTGATGGACCATGTGTGTTAGGAACAGGGGAGGAGGGGTGAGGTGGTTGGTCCCACAGCTGCCACCCCCTATTCCCCACCCCATGCCAGGCAGGCTGGGTAGACTGGGCCTGTGAGTTGCTGAGAATGGCAACACAGAATCTGGGGCAGGGGCCAGACTCCTCTCTTATGTCCTTCCTTTGCCACAAACAGAACTGATGCTTCCTGGAATAGCTTGGGGGAGTGAGGGCTGGTAGCAGGGGTCGGGAGGAGATCCCAGGCCCTGCAGCAGGCTCTGTGCAGAGAGGGCTATAATGGAGTGTGACCTTGGTTTGTGAAGGATCAGCAAGATCCAGAGTGATTTGTTAGGGGTTCCAGACACTGGAGGCTCTCTGCTTGACATCTTAGCCTGAGCTCTGAGTTAAGCCTGGGAATACTCAGACTAGGTGTGTACTCCTGGCCTAAAGTTGGAGGGGTCCCTGGGATGTTTTTGCTCTAGACCTCTGGTTTTCAGAGACATCTTAGCTGAGAGCCTCACTACAGGGTGAAATCCTGAGGGGGGCCCCATCTGCCATGCCCCAACTCCCTGAGTGACGCAGTTGGAGAACCCTATTTTAGTCCAGCTTTCTGTGCTCACGTGTAGCATTCCAGGCTTCAGCTGTAGTGGTCCTTTCTCGGTCCTGGGCTCCATCCTGGGCTGTCAGTATCCTTACTTGGCCCCCAG